TGGTTTAATAAAGGTTGAATATGTTGAGCTCGGCTTCGGGTTCAGCTGTAAAATAGCCAGTTTCTATTCTGCACATTTCGTCTCGCTTGAGCTTAACACTTTCTTGAGGAATTTTGATGTTGGCACTGATCATGCTTTATCCTTTTTGGGTCCTTTATCAGCTCCAGCATCTGTTTTGCATAAGTGCAACGGTTGAAGAATATGGATTTTGCAAATCATTTTATTGTTCCCAGCACTCGGCAGTGAGAGATCATTGTCTGCTTAGCAATAATGGCTTTTCCAAAAGACAAACAATTTCTAATAAATCAGACCTCGAAGAATTTAATAGTAAAATTAAATGACCCATTACCGATGGTTTATACATTATGCAGGCTCAGTGCAAGTATAGTGGAGAGCATATGCAATTACTGAAGATAATTATTCTTATGAGGGGAAATGTTGCTGAGTATTTCTTGTGTTAAATAATTGAGTGAGATTCCTAATGTCGTTTTAGGAGGAGCGTCACAGACACTTGGAAATCCAACAATTTAAATTTAATAATTTAAAATTTCAGTAGCACAGGCAAAGTACAGGAGGCACTGGAATTATTCTCTAATAAATCTAAAGTATCAGTTGGGAGGTTATTGTTCTAGAAGACTGTAAATTATTGTGTGCCTACGATTCGAGACTGAAGAGGAGGGTTTGTCTTTGCTGCAAAGTTGTAACTGCATCAGGTGCTGTGAAGTCAGGTCTGATGCATGCAAAAGCCATTAAGTGCAGTGGCATTTTTAGCTGAAGGCAGCTGGGTCGTGGGATGATGTCAGATCAAGATCTGTGACAGACTCTCAAACAGCAGCTCCAGCAATTCAAATGTCAGTGGTCCACAAACCGCTCACAGTCCTCAGCCTGCCTATAAGCAATCTGCACGAGGCTACCCAAATAAGCAGGTCTGTTGTCAGCAGCCTTCTGAAGGCTCTGAGACACTCTGAAACTACAAGGGGTCTAAAAAAGGAAGGTTAAACCCCCTCCTTCAACAGAATTATTCAACAGAATAATAGTTGTTGATCAACAGCAGCCTCAGTATTGCGTCATTTTCAGAGCTGAGCCATTGCTGTGGATGGGATGCTCTTCTCTAGAGGCAACAGGACTCAGTAAACACTTTCCCCAAAGCATAGCTGGTGAAAAATAGGAATGAAAGAGCCCTTGGTACTGTTTTTAACTGTTTAGCTGTAGGAAAGTAGCTTCTTCAGCACAATGGTATAATTGAGTTCTCAGCTCTGGTCTCATCTTAACTGAAAGGACAAAAGGCATGATAGAAAACAGAGTGCAGCCAATGATTAAAAAAAAAAAAAAAAAGAAGAGGGCAGATGAAGGGATTTCTGTTTACAGAAGAACAAGTAGGGAGCCTGTTTTCCAGTTTCTCTTGCGGGATTCAGTGGGTGAGTTGGTTAGTCAAGCTTGAAGGAGAGTTGGACACAGCTGTCTTCTTTGCCTTCCTTGTTGAACTGGTTCTGGCAATAGCTGCAACAGAATTGGAAATGGGTCAGATAACACGTTTCTCATCAGATGTCAAGTCTGGAATCTGGTTTGACCTTTGACAAATTAACTGAAAAAAATTCCTAGTCTGGACAGCATCTTATCAGCAGAATTTCCCTTTCCTGAGTACGCCTGGATTTTCTCTGATAAAAAACAATTAGTACAAATCACCTGGCTTTATGTATATTTCATTATTTTTCATAAGTGCTTTAGGTGGTGATAACTAGTGATTCTGGAAGGATGAGAAGTGTCTGCATTATTTATTAAGAAAATGTGTTCCTTTCTGTTGTGATATTTATAAAATTCAGTTCTACAGCATCTGTTACTGGTAGGAGAAAGGATGATAAATTTGAAGTCACACAGTCAATGGTATGAAGTGAGATATTCTTTAGGATAACATTTGGGCTTGTAGCTTCTGTACTTCGTAAATTTATTTTTTTTTAGGGAGCAGTCTAGATGGAATTACAGCTTCAGGGAACACATATTGGATTACAAGTTTTCTTGAATCAAGCAACCGGAAAAATTGATTTCAGATTTATCAGTGTCATCTCATTTTGTTACAAGTTGGTTTTATTCTGTCCTGTAAGAGAGGAAAATCCTTGTGTGAAAAAGACATAAAATTAAAGGCTGTAGCCTGATGTCTTAAAATATCTTATGTGCACATTAATTTGAAGATAATCTGTCCCTAGACAAAACAGTTTTTCAATTTGCTATGAAGTTTGGGTAGAGAAGATGAGGAATGAGATACGACTGCTGAGATGTAGCAACATAAAGTAAAAGATTTTCAACAGGAAACAAGAATAAAAAGAAGCAAGAGAGATTGCAAAAAAGGAAGTATTTTCAGGCAGCAGTATCCTGATGGGCAGAAAGGGACTTCCTCTCTGTAGTTTTATGGCTGCCAAGAGTTTTCCTAAGAAATTATAAGCATATTATATAGTATTAAGACATCTAACACTGATTGTGCCTCTAAAATCAAGTAAGTAGATGTATAAATGCTAAAAATCAGATGTGTGTGTGTATGCTCTGGCTTTTTTCTGGATTGTAAATGAAAGATTGGATTTAGAAAACCAGGGCTTAAAAGCACTTTGATATTGGTGAGGAGGGAGGCAGAAATTACATCCTCTTTCTCACTTTTCTTCCTCCATTAAGAAAGCACTTCTAAAGATAATTATGCACTTCAAGCAGTCTGAACAATTTGTTCTTTTTTAAAAACCTTTTTCCCCTTAATGATTATTGTTCCTGAGATTATTTATTTGGTTGGGAAGATGAACATCTAGTGGACTGGAGGTTGGGCTAATGCCTTCTTACCCTCGTTTCATTACTGTGTTCTGAGCAGAGCTCTGATTTGGAACCTCTCAGCTGACAGTTTGTATTATGCTAATCGAAATCTGTTTACTGGAAATGAAATTTAAATATGCTGTAACCTTGTTGTCATTAATAAACTTACTGCCTCTTTTTTTTTTTTTTTTTCAGTTGGACTTCCAGTTTCCACTTCGAATATTGATGGTCTCGAAAGTGCATTTGGATCCAAGACATTTTCCATCACAGAACAAATCAGGAGCCTCCTCTCCTATCTCAGAGCAATACAGACAGCTTAATATCATATGACCTCATTTCTCCATATTAAATGAAAAAAGAATTTTCACTAGCTTTCCATGAAGCTCAGCTACTGCCTGTTAATTTTGACTGTTAGTGCTGATCTTTCAGTTGGATTCACAGTGGAAAATGTAGCTTTTAACAGGACGGTTGCTTTTGGGTCTTTCAATGCATCACTTCATGCAGTGTCTCAAGCTTTAATAAGTTCTCCAGCATACCATGATATCATAGCCAAAGAGGGGACCAGTATTTTAATTGAATGTAAACTGAACATCAGCCAGTATGAACATATCCTTTGGTATAACTCCAGGGGACACCTGCTTGAACAGCAAGATGGTGAGTTTTCCTGCTGTTTTCTGTCCTTCAGTATTCCCTTTTCATACAGTACCTGAAAACCTCTGGGGCTTTGATAATTTTCTCTTCCTATCCTCCTATTTTTACAGTTGGGAGATAAGGAGAAAGCAAGAGAAAAGTCTTTGCTTGTGAATTATACCTGAGTTCCTCTGTCCCAGTCCATCCATCCTGCTTTGGTGCCCCAAAGAATCACTCAATACGGAAGAAATGAGTTTGCACCTTATAAGACACTAACTGATGTTTTTATTTATTATTGCTCTGGTTTAGATTATATTTTTCGAAACACATGAATTAAACACAGTTGTCCACAACTTGTGACCTTTTCCAGCTGGCAGTCGGTGCTTTAATTTCGTTACAGGATATTTTAAAGCATTTATTTTCTGTTTTAACCACCAGTGAGACTGTGGAAAGTACCACAGTATGTAATGGCCAACAATGCAATACATGCTATTTAACCCTCTTGTACTGAGGGGGAGTATATTTTTCTAGCTATTGACTCTTAGAGTTCTGTCCCTGTAGTTAGTTGTTAATTTAAAAAGTATGTTTTAGAGATGCATGTGTTTTTCTCTATTAGTATTAATGAAGACCATCAAACTAATTGATAGGATTTGTTGGAGGCCATCTTTCTGCCTTAAGTATTCGGTAACCTTTTTGTAGTTATAATGCCATCTGGAGATTAGTTCAAAGTAGAGTAATTAGAAGAATAAGTTATGAAAATAGTTCAAAGTAGAGTAATTAGAAGAATGAGTTATGAAAACAGTTTTCCCCCTAAGTTATAAACGCGCTGCAAATGCTGTATAAAGCTTCTTGTATTGATTTCTTTTTACTTGGGTTTTGTGTGTCAGCGCTGCATGCTCAGCAGAAAACCACGTCTTGAAAAAATCCTGGGTTCTTTTGCCAGCAGAGCCATTTACAGACTGATCTTTCTCCTGGGTCAGTTGACTTTTGATTCTGAATGTATGGAAAATTAGACTTTATGGAGGACAGTCTTTTAACAGAAGCCCAAGTTAAGAATTGGGATCCCTGACAGAAAGAGCTGGCAGTCCCGAAGCACGCTAGAGAGTGCAGATGAGAGAAGGAGGAAAATCCATTGTAGCATGCAGTATAATTTACCATTAAGCAGTAGGATTGGTAAATGGGTTATGGCTTTCTGTATCACAAGCATGAAAAGGACACTGCAGTGCTTGGTGTACTGTTGGTGTGATGCTAGAAGGGGGCTGCTTACTGCCAAGCTCTGACTCCTGTTGATGGAGCAAACAGCACATGTGTAGTTTACCCAGTGATTTTTGTTTCATGAGCCTGGTTTGTTTCTTTACAATCTCCAGGTGACCGGTGGAGGATTGCTGATAATTCCCTTAACATCACAAAGGTCAGCTTTGCTGACCGGGGCCGATACACGTGTGCAGGCATCAACCATAATGAGACCTTGTACTACACAGTCACTCTGAGGGTTACCTTCACCTCAGGAGACATGAGTATCTACTACATGATTGTGTGCCTCGTTGCCTTTGCCATCACCCTCATTTTGAACATAACCCGTCTGTGCATGATGAGCAGCCACCTCCGCAAGACAGAGAAGGCGATCAATGAGTTCTTCAGGACGGAAGGGGCTGAGAAGCTTCAGAAGGCTTTTGAGATAGCCAAGCGCATCCCTATCATCACATCTGCCAAAACGCTGGAGCTGGCCAAAGTCACTCAGTTTAAGACCATGGAGTTTGCTCGGTACATCGAAGAGCTTGCCAGAAGCATTCCCCTTCCACCTCTGATCCTCAACTGCAGGGCGTTCATGGAGGAGATCTTCGAGGCTGTGCGGGTGGACGACCCCGATGAAGTCGGCAAGGAGGACAAAGAGTCCCAAGGCTGCGGCGCCCAGGCTGCCATATTCCCCATCAACCCCGAGATGAAGCGCAGCGACTCCCCAGCAGGGGATTCCGACGATGGTTCCATGAGCGAGCAGGGCCAGGAGATCGCCGTGCAGGTGTCCATCCACCCTCAGTCCGAGGTGCAGAGCATCGACACCGTGTCCCACGACAGCTGCCAGTTTGCGCCTTCTGAGGAGGGCACCTGCTGAGTCCTGCAATCCAAAGGGGGGTGAAGGAAGCTGGGGTGACCCAAAGATACTGTGAGAAAGGGGTCTGCAAACAAGCTGCCTCAGTCCCACGTGCACAACAGTTTTCCAAATTGCAAGGTGCCAGAACTAGTTCTGAAGTCTGTATTTCCTGTCAGTGTTGATCTAACGATTTAAGGCTGTTAGAAGAGGCCACTTGGAATATTGTGCAGGGGCTTTTATTTTTAAAGCAGGCTTGCTGTACTTAACAGAGTTACAAAACAGGAATTCGTTGTCCTTGTCTCCTTGGTAGCTTCTGATACTTCTGATCAGTGTTAGAAGTGGCCAAGCTGAGCAGTACAACTTGCAATAAGGTCTTTTCCTTTGTGAATTATTTCTTTCTTCACAAAGTTGAGCCGAAATTCCTTTGAGTCAGTGTTGTTGTCCTGATGATTTGAGTTGTGTGCTCTTTTTGAGTTGCCTCTTGGTGTGTGCAGCCCATCAGAACCGCAGTGAGCTTGAACAAATGTTTTGTGTTGCGTGCTTCTATGTTGCTATCAAAATGTACTGTACTTAGGAAAAGTACCAGGATCTGCTGCTGGATTAAACAAACTGCTGTAGTTTCAAAGCAGCTTGGAGAGCAACCAGGGGGTCTCAGTTTTCCATGCACCTGCAGGAAACTTGTACGTACTCTAGAAGCTTGTTGCTTAAACTTGGTGCTGATGCCAAAGCGCCTTACCCTGGTTCTGTCCCGCAGAATGGAGCAGTAACAGCACTGCCAGCAACCGCCTGGCTTTTGACTTTGCTTTGATTTCACTCACTATAGAAAAATCCAAAGGTTTATATTGTATTTGACGTTGTGAGAAATGAACGACAGTAATAACACAGTGGCATAACTAATGAATAAACTCATCTACAGACAGGTGTCTCAGGCACTTCTTTCTGAGCATTATGATTTCTGAGCATTATAGGAAAGCAGGTAAAAAGTAGTGACACTTGCTCTGCTCTGGCTAGTGCTGTCAGGAGGCAGTGGCAGAGAGAGTGGCTGGTGGAGGGGCTGGCAAACAGCTCAGCCAGCCCCTGTTTACAGTGTGGAGTTTACAGGGTGGATCCCAGCCTTATCCACTGAAGAGGGTGGCAGAAGGGAGAGGTGCTGACATAACACACAAGTACTTCACCCAGGATCTCCCATGTGGCTTCCTCAGCTGTAGAGATCCAGCCTCCAGGAATCGGAGGGCACACAAGAATATAGTTTCTTCTTTCACTCTTTGGTGCTGATTTTTTTTTTTTCTCCTTAACATTTGTAAGTTGCATCATTTAAATAGCATTTTCTATCCTGTTGAGATTTAGTAGATGTAAAGCTTGTAAGCACTCCACAAATTAATTTCTTACAACTACTGGAAGCATATTGCCATATAATTTTAACAACTTGGCAACAGGAGCACCATTTAATTTCCCACAACTCTTTTTTCTTTCCTTATTATTACAGAAATGTCAGTTGAACAAGTGATTCTGGACGGCTGCTCAGGATTCTTAAGAGGATTTGACGTTAGATTTACATGAGTAGAGGTAGAAAACAAGCAGGCACTGTGGTAATAGCGGGGTGGGGCCATCTGTGGTAATTCATGCTCTGAACAAATTATAGTTATCATATCAGAGAGGGGGAAATGACAGCATCTGTTACCATTTTAAACTACCTTCTGGGGAAAGTCCTGCAGTCAGCCACCAGTAAATGCACCCTAGTTGCCTTTGGCCTGTCGGGTAAGAGTGGTGTTCGTCAGGAAGGAAGGAAGGAAATTGGTAGCCTTGGTTATAGTAGCATTCCCACCAGCTTGGTGCCATTTCCCGGACTGCAGCAAACTTTATCTGCTTCAGGGGAATAAAACCTTCTGTAGACACTTAGAGTAGCTACTGCCCTCAACAGTAACTTCTTTTTTGCTTCCATGGTTTGATGGCACTTTATGTCCACGTGAAAAGTTTGTATAGTTTTGTGTAAGCATTTGGTTTCTTTAAGTTCTTCGAGGCGATCAGTGTTAGAAAACACTTTGTGAATAAATACCTAGTTCTCTCAGAAGCCCTGCTGAGATGCTACTGGCTTCACTTCTGTACTACAACGAGTTCTGCAGGTTTGTTACACGTGTGTGGGTAGAGATTTGGGGGTTTGCACCCTCTAGGATGTCCTACTCAAAAGACATGAGGGCTACAAGAGATTGATTTGTTTGAGTCTCCTTTGTGCCAGAGGCCATCAGAATTGTACCTGCACCTGCCTTATTTCCCATAAGCAGCTCTCCCTGCTCCTGTGAAACTGTTGCATGATATGCAGCAGTAGCACATTGGATATTTAGCCCCAACCTACACACACAACGAGAGATGCCACTACAAAATCTAAGGTCCATTTAACTGCTTCCTAAGAAGCAGTTATGATTGACAGATGTCTCATCAGAAGTGGCAGCCGAATGGCACTGGAGGTGTGTCAGATGGGTGTCAGGAGAGCAGTTTCTAGTATAATTTGATTTGTTCTTTGATTCTTATACTTTACATCCAAGTTCTTACTAAGCACAGTTACCTGGTGTCTTTGTGTGTCCTGTTGCTGATGGAAAGGAATAAAGATGCATAAAGGTCCTCAGAAATGCAGTTGCAGTGTCAATTGCTGGATAGCAAAGCTCATTAAATTAATTCCATTCCTGGGAAAGGGGTTTTGTAAGAGATTTCAGTATATCAGGAGTATGTAGTTCCTACTGCATGTAGGAACTGATCCTCCCACCGAATTCAATTAGAGCAGATTTGGAGCTGTGGTGTATTTTACAGGATTTTTATGCATCTGAAGCAAGGACAATGGTGATGTTATACAGTAAAAGTGATTTCCAGAGAATGCAATTTGACACTGGTTTCCAAAGAACTTGTGAACTATTCTTGTTATCCAGAGAGTAGATATGTGCACTTAAATTTCTTTGATGAATCTGATTGAACATTAACGTTGAAAGTGTTTCTGTCTTAACTTTTTGTAGGACAAGGAGAGTCTGCTGTGGTTTCCTTGCTTTAAACTAAAATTTTTGACAATCACAAGGCTATTTTTTTTCTCTTCTTTGTGACTTACTTTTATTTTAAATAACATAAACTCTACTTGTTATCCGAGAGTACCTAAAACTAACTTTGTAGTGATTATTTGTATTACCTGGATTGTAATGTAACTGTTTGATGTAACCACGTAGGATTTCATACTTTCATAAAATGAATTGGTAGATTTTCAAAATAAATTAAAAAGAAAAACCTTGTTTGGGTGGAATTTTCTGTTTTTCAAGTAAGGAATGCCTGCCTCTCCAAGGTCACGTAGCAGCTGTACTGAGCTCAGCAGAATGTTTGTTAGTCATCCTGACAAAGGTTGCTGGGATATTCAGTCATCTGATGGACCATTCCTGCTATGACATCTTTGTGTCTGTCATTTTTTTATGTCTCAAGCACTGACAACATCTGTAATAATCGTTCCCAGCTGCGTAAATGAACAGTTTACAGGCATGAAATGGTTTCAGGAAGATCTGTGTGTTCTTGATTTCACATTGCGAAGTGCAGTGACCTTCAGCCACAAACCTGTGTTGTCTGTCCTTACCTTTTTCATGTGGGAAGGGGCATCCCACTGCGTTTTGGTGGCCAGGCTTGGGTTCCTGATCCCTCTGCAGTCAATTCAGAGTATTAAACTCTGCCAGGGGATGATCCCGAGGCTCACCCATCACCACTGGTTACACTGGGAAGCCGCATTCCCAACATGAGCATCTGATAGTGCTGATAATGGGGGTCTTCTGTGTGGGCAAGTCCTGCAGCTCTGCCAGCCTGAAACACAAAGTGCCCTTGGTTAAGTTTGAACTGCATTCCCCCGCCCCAAACACCAGTTTGCTCCAGGTTACAGGGAAACCCTGTGGAACACAGTCAGTGGGGTTGTGCAAGTGTGAATGAGGGCAGATTTCACCCACATTGTTTTTAAAGAATAGTTTCTGGTTGCCAGTCTCTGCACTAGGCAGGTAATGTAATTAAAGCTGAATCTTCGGGATTTTCCCATGAGAATCTGCTGCTTAAAGGAAGAATTATTGGGCCCATACTCTTCAGGCTAGGTCAGTACTCAGTCAGCATCTGCTTTCTGTCTCCTTGTTATGAGAGATGCATGAATGATAAAGGTTCAGTTTTTTAAAGCTCCTGTAACCTGACCCCTCATGATCCCATCCGCAGTGAACAAATTCATCTGCATCCATTTAAAGCACTTTTCCATCTGGTAACAGCAGATCATTGAAAAGGGAGCTGCATTAAGGATGATTGTACTTTAATTTTAGGTGCGCTCCTTTAAAAAATACATTTTTTTCTTAATGTTGCAGCACTTTTGTGCATCAAGTCTCCAGCTGGAGACACAGTGAAGACACCACGGTGTCATTCAACTCAGGCAAGTTACAGCTTTATCGACTTTTCACTGAGCCAGGTCATTTCACACCAGCTGGGTCTCTCTCCTTTTATTGTATAGCAGCTCATTCAGATGTCTCCAGTTACTGCCAGCTTTTTTGCATGTGGAAGTGAGAATTACACCATCATTCAAAAAAAAAAAAAATTGTTCTTCTAGATGTTCAAATATCAAAAAAGCCCCAAAAGCGGGAAAGTTTTGCTTTATCCCTGGTAAGACAATGCCTATTCTTTGGTCACGCCTGGATGCCAATGAGCGTAATAATACTGAGCAATTAGGCCTTTCATTTTCGTTAGGCTAATTAATTGTTTGCACAGTGCCCTGAATATGGAATCATTTTCCTTTGGAAAGGATAAAAGGATTAGAATGGCTTTATCCCAAGTTGCTCAGAACGTATTTTATTTATTTAATGGGAGAAAAATTCTCTCTCGCCCCAAATGCAAACCACACACTCGAGCACTACGGCTGCGCTGGGACCTTTCCATCAGCGGAGATGCACACAGATCCACATATGTCCATCCATCTGCAGCCACGCTCCATATGGGATCTGGGGGCTCTGTTGCATGTCAATGAGCCTGCAGAGGCTGGAGTCACGGTCGTTTGCGCTGCTGGGTTTGGATGTCAGCCGTGGTCAGGCGCTGGAGAGGGACGATCACACCCCTTGGAGTTCAGCACCGTGATGATGGCGGGTATAAATGCGCTGGAGACTGTCTCAGGGGGTTTGTACGAAGTAAATCAAAGGCAAATGAAAGCTGGGCTAGGATTTTGTGAAGAAGGGACCCAGTGGACACAATATTGCGGGGGCTACTGCCAGCTCTTTTTTATGTTTGCCCTATTCGGTTCCTCTTCGTGCTACTGTGTTATTAAATATATATTTCATATTAAATGGCTCCAAGTGTAACACAAGCTTGCAGAAAGGCATTTCAGTGGAAAGTGGCGAGATGTGTTCAGCTTTAAGTTTAAGGGACAGGCTGCCATCACACAAACTTCCACTGAAGGAGTTGGAGGTAGCTGGAGTTCCTGCCCTGCCTTGCCTTTTCCCTGCTCTGCTGTAAGGCCTGTTATGGACCATCTGCAAGAGCTGTAAGTGAAAACTGTGTCCTGTGCTACTTTCTCTTCCTCTAAAGATTAGGACACTGAGAACAGCCCTGGGTATGAAGGGAGCGTGAGAGGCCACCCAGGACATGCTCTCAGCCATAGATGTCTGTCCTGTCTTAAGAGATATTGTATCTCCCAGGCAATCTGTTCTCCTGCTAAACTATCATGACTTACTGACTGGAAAGATTTCCCTGTTATCTGCCCCCAAGCATCTCTAAACGCATCACTCATCTCCTCCTTTCAGTGCCTGCTACTGCTACGTCTGTAGCCCAAATCAGGGCCACCCCAAATGCACAGGAAGGGAATTGAAGGGTGGCATAAAGCAGGGACCAATACTTGAACTTATGTGCCTGCCATGCCTGCATAGGTTTCTGTGCTCAGGCCAAGCCTGCAGAATTTAACTGAAAGTCAAACTCATTTTGGTAATTTGATGCCTGGATGTCTGAGTGCTGCTTCTTGGGCCTTGGACCTTCTTGTTGTCCAACTGTGCTGGGTCATGGAAAGGCCCCTGACACCAGTGCTGGCAGCCAGCAGTCCCTGCCCCTGTTCCTGTCAGATGTGTAACTCCGGTATTTCAGGTGCAGCAGTTTTGTGATTGCTTCGCATTTATGCCTGGTAGGGGGTGGAAAAAAGACCCTGCAAAGCACACAAACCTGTTCCACCATTATCTGAAGATATTTTCAGCATTTCACTTTCTTTCCCTCCTTGGTGTCTTCACTATCCTGCATGGAAATATTCAGAGTATCTCAGAGTATCTCATCTGATCAGTGGGAGAATTCCAAGTTTTCTTTGGTTTGTTGTGGGATTTTTTTTTTTCACCTTTTATGAGGTTTTCTCAAGCTTAACTCTCCTAAATAATGTCTAGGGAGGAAGACAGTAGACCAGAACAGACATGAAGGAGTTTGGACAACTGTCCTAAATTAGAGGACAGGTTTGCTTTGGAAATCCTATATGCATCGCAATCCGTTATAGAGAGTTGGCTTTAACAGCAAATCTCTTGCAGCAGGGTGTCACTTCACTTCCACAGATTACTTGAAATGCTTTATTAATTTGATGACCCTGTGGGCTCTCAGAAAAAGCCATTTCTCAGTGTTTTTGGGAAAGAGAACTCTGAGCAAAAGGGACTGTTCTGTTGCTCAGATTTATTGCTTGGCTGCCTTAATTCACCATTCAAACACGATGATTTTTAGCTGCTGGGCAGCGGCCCTTGCAATGTTGAAACTAATTAACTGCTAGAACACTTTTTAGTAAGGCTGTTTTCTTACTGGGTTTGGTTTTTGGGTTTTTCATTTTTTAATCCACAGAAATAAAGCAAACACAATCCTTGAAACACAGGTTGCATGGATACGGTATCACCACAGACTGGGTGCAGAATGTCTCCGTGTTACAAAGGAAGGAAGGCTGCTGGCTGTCCCTGCTGCCAACGTGACACTGCACCAAGGTAAGATGAGAAAAGAGAAAACATCTGAAGGCAGAGGAAAGGAAGAGTGTCAG